GAATCCCACTAACACGGCTCAGATGGCCCATGCAAGCTGTCTGAAGGGTCCTCGCAGCCAAATGGCGCAGATCCCCCCACCAAAATCAAGGCAGGCAGGGAATATTCAGCAGGGCAGGAGCTGGCCGAATATATACTCAAGATTCGGCCAGCTCCTGCCCTGCTGCATATTCACGCAGTTATGGGTTGCTCACGGAGCTAGGCCTGCCCGTAATTCTCAGGGCTTGGCTGCACTACTCACCATATGTGCAAAACTAGAATGAATCTTCTGCAAAACGTGGAATAATACGCCAGCATATGTTTGTCTTTTTCTTTCTCGTTTTTTTTCAGCCTGCATTGGCCGTCTGAGCCGTGTTAGGGGGATACCCCTACCCCCCCCTGAAAAAAAAAAAGGAGCATTCACACACCAACACACACACATTCACACACTTTTTTTTTTTTTTTTTTCCTGTTTTCTCTGGGGCATTGGCCCACAGCCTCCCCCAAGCAGCGACGCCGCTCCCCACACTGCCGACAACCACCCCAAGCACCGCCGCCGCTCCCCACACTGCCCAAAGCCCCCCCCCACCCCACACATGCCCCTGCGCAAACGCGTCAATCGCGTTTACCGGCGTTCAGTGAACGTGCGTTCAGCGCGTTCAAAACCTGAATGCGAAACCCGCGTTCAATGAATGCGCGGTAACATAGCCGTCCCCGGAACCAATGGCTCGCTCGGCCTTGAGCGACCCGCACCCATCTGCCTTGTAACCAGAGGCGGTCCGCCCTCTCCGCCAAATTGCACTCGTGCCCCCGAAAAACCCTGCCACAGGAGATCTCAGTTCTGACCTGGGACTCCACTTTCCCAAAAATCCTTGGCACACCCCTTTTCGCACTTCCAGGCCCACATCCTACTCCGATCAGGAAGTCGCGCTGGGTGTGAGGTTAAGGGCGTCACAACGCAGCGGTGTAAGAGACTTAAGCAGGGGCATCTTCTTGATGAGTTTAGATGAGCCTCTATGTTGCTCATAGTCCTCGTGCATGCTGCAACAAACAGGGCATTCTCAAGTTCGTCCTGCAAGTCTGCTTTCTCACATTCCAACGCGTGCGGAGCTTCCTCCGCAATCTCTTCCCGTTCCATTGTGCGCTGGTAATCCGCCTCCAAGTTCTCCAACGCCTCGTTCATGTACTGCTGGTCAGCCAAACGTCGCTCTACGTGTTGTCGGACATTGTCTAACTCCCGGTAAGAGACACCAAGGAAGTACAAATACTCCAAGGCTTGCTTATGTCTCACCCTCAAGCGATGTAGGACCTCCTTTACCCATCTCGGAGAAATGTCACTGGGCTGTGTGATGCCGACTGAAGAAGATCCGGCCTCTGTCACCACACTCGTGACTATGTAGTCTCCCCGGCGGATGAGGGTCTTGCACATTATGTCTTCCTCCAGTTGGGATGCCCTCAACTTTTGACCAAATGATGCCATGTCATCATCCATCCGCGTGCACTGTCCACTCTGCAGGAGGTGATCCCGAACGTCCACGACTCTCCTCCGCTCCGTCTCCACCTCTTCAACCTCTCCCATGTCCATAAGCATCCTTCTCTCCATCTCTCTTTCTCTCCATACCTCTTCCATGTCCATATCCATCCGGTTGACAATCTCTCTCTCTCTCTCTCTCTCTCTCTCTCTCTCTCTCTCTCTCTC